AGGGGGAGCAGCACAGGTTCTAGAGAAAACAGTTCAGAGGGTGTTAGGCACAAAACCTGTTTCTGGGGAGCAGGCTTGTGCCACTGGTCCCTGAGTTTGATGTTCCCTTGGTGTCACAGCGCTGGGCCCAAAGTCCCTGCAGAAAACACATCTGTCTGCTGCGCGTGGCCTCGGCCCCTGGCCTCCTGCCCTAGGACTGTGTGTTTGGGCAGCAGCACTGCATTTTTAAAACAATTTTTAACTTGCACACTCTACCTGCAGAACCAGAATGTCTGGTCAAGACCAGTTACATAACATCCTCCACCTTCTGCGTGCCAAGGGCAACTGGAACTCTGTCCCCAGGCAGGTGTGGATTAAGCCTAGCCAGAGAGGGCAGGAGATAAAAAGATGGGGTCCCCTTCCTATCTGGAGGCCTGAGCCCCCACTTCAGGAGGGGGAAAGCTGAAGCTGAGTAGGGCAGGACCCACCCTGGGTCTTCTATCCAGGAGCCCTTAGAATGTAGCTTTGTTCTGTTTTAAGGATTCCTGAAGGATTTAGGCTAGAAGGAAGAAAGAACTCACATTGAGGGTCTGCAAAATATCAACACATTACCACGAAGGTGTAAAGTTTTCTTCCCTATTTATTTAAAGATTATCTCTGATGAATAACGTAGTCCTGCCCAGGGCAGGCGGATGGACTATATGACTTCTGGAAGGCTCTGTCTGGTTCCTGGCGTGCTGGGCAGGTGCCAGGCCAGGACAGCCTGGTCCTAGTACTGTGCTCTGCTGCGAACAAGACCAAACCTCAAAAAAGTTTTGCAGAGTTAAGATGAGGAGCTGAGCTCATTGCAGTCTCTATGGCTCCTCCGGGCAGGCCTGAGCAGACAGAAGGAGGGAATGCAGACAGCCATCAGGGTGGCTGGAATGCATGTTACAGAAACAGCCCAGAGCCCACACAACCCAGAGCGGTGGGTGGGAGATGGAATCCCAGCAAGCCAGCGTGGGCAGGGACAGCGGGGAGCAGCTGGTCCCACTCTCTCATTTTATAGACGGAAGCTGAGAAGTGACTCACCTGCTCACAGTCACGTAGAGAAGGGGTGGGGTGATGAGGCTGGTAGATTAGCGACAGGAAGTTAGTTCAAGTTCTTAAGGTCTTCCATGAGCTTCAGAATGGCGAAGGTGGGCCTAGCTCTGAAGGCTGCTAGGATGGGTTTGAGGGAGGGTTCGAGAAGTGCCTGCAGAGTTCTAAGCCCCGGGTCTGAAGCTAAGCCTTGGCTGCACGCCACAGATGGGAGGGCCTCTAAGAGGTGTGGAGGAAGAGTAATCAACGAGACTTAGAGATGGACCTCCTGGGGCCAAACCAGGGACCCAAAATGGCGGCTGAGATCTCCACCTCGACCTTTCTTCCCAGTCTCCCAAGGTTACCACCCAACCCTGCCAACTTTTCCATAATGCAGGAGCAAGACCCCGCCTGCTCGCCATTTGCCTCACCAGTCAACAGGCAACCCTGGAGGCCGCTCTGGGCTGCACCGGACCTCCTTCCATTCATACCTGTTTCTTCCTCCCTCCCTCCCTTCTTTCCATTCACCTGGCTCCCAGACAGGCTGGATGCCTTTTCAGTGACAGTGTAAAAGTCCCATTGGTCACCTTTACCTTGCCGTAGATCAGCCCCCCACATTCACTTGGACACCTGCCACAGCCTCCTCCCTGGTCCCCTGCCTCCCACCTCTGCTCCTCCAGTTCTCCTCCACTTAGCTGGCAACTACGGAGTGTACTAAACCACAAACCTGGCCATCTCACTCCCCTGAAAGCTAGTCATGGCTCCCCAGAGCCTCCAAGATAAAGCACCAACTTCTGTGGAGAGCAAGCGAGTCCCTCAGGAGCTGGCCTTGCCCACTCCAGCGTCACATCTCACCCCCCCACTCCGTGCTTTGCTGTGCTGCTCCAGAGCCCACCAAGCCTTGTCTGCCTCTGGCTTTTGCACATACTTTTTCTTTGCCTGGGATGCTCTTCTACCCCCAGGTCCACGTGGGATATCTCCTACTCAGTCAAGTCTCAACCAGAAGCTGCTGCTTCTGGGAAGCCCTCTCTGATCTCCTCAGGCAGAGGCTGGCATTTCTTTTCCTGAGCTCCTGCAACAGCCGGCACTTTCCTCTCTTGGCGCTCTCCATTTGCTAATCCCATTCGCCTGTTGGGCTAGGCAACCTCTAATAGGATGGTTCTCAATGATCCCTATCTCTTGGTATTTCTCCTGCCTAATGCCCTCCCCTTGAGGGTGAGTTGGGCTCATTGACTCCCTTCTAATGACAAGAATATGGTAGAAGTTAAGGGATGTCACTTCTAAGATTGGTTACAAAAAGACTGTGGCTTCTGATTCAGTTCCTCCCTCTCTCTCCCCCTCACTCTGAAGGAAGCAAACCACCATTTTGGAGTAGTTCTTTGGAGGGGCTCATGTGGCAGGGACCAGATGTCTCTAGCCAACAGTCAGCAAGGACTTGAGATAAGTCAGCTGCCACATGAGTGACTGGCAAGCAAATGCTCCCCAGTCAAGCCTCTGAGGTGACTGCCGGCCCAGTCACCACTTGGTTGGTTTTGTCATGGGACACTCTGAGTTAGAGGCCCCTGGATAAATGCACCCAGATTCCTGACCTGTAGAAGCCGTGAGATAACAAATGTTTGTTGTTTTCAGCCTCTAACTTTTGGGGTAATTTGTTACATGGCAACAGATAACCAGTCCACCTCTTCTCCATTGGCCTTGGAGCTCCTTGGGGACTGACTCGGTCATCTTTAGATCTGCTGGAGCAGCTCTCTGGGGACAAGGAGAAGATCCTATAAGTTTTGAGGAAGCAAAACCAAACAAAAGCAGAATGACAGGTTTCATACAACGGATCCAGAATCAGAATGACACCAGGCTTCTCAACAGCTGCCCTGGAAGCGAGAACACAATGGCACAAGATCTTCAAAATACTGAGGGAAAATGATATCCAGCCTCCAGCAATTACGAGTGAGAGCGAAACATTTTTGAGAGGATCTCAAAAATTTACCTCCCATGAACCACTTTCTCAGGAAGCTGCTTGAGGATGTGCACTGTCAAAACAAGAGAGTAAACCAAGAAAGAAGAAGGAACAGGATCCAGAAACCAAGAGCCAATAAAAGAAGGAGCAAAGGGACTGTCTAGTTGATGGTGAGGGGAGACCCCAGGATAACAGCTGGGGCCAAGGCCTGGAGGGGGCTCTGTCCAGGCTGGAGCAGACGCGAGGCTCTGGGACAGGCTGTTCAGGAAGATGCAACTGACAAGCCACCTAAGGTTTTGAACATATTGACTGGAGATTTACACACACGAGGGAGATTTTGGGGTTGAATTAGTAGCAAATACATAGAATACTTAGCAAATGAAAAAAGTAGGACAATTATTAACTCTAGCAAAAACAAAGTGTTGTGCAGGAAGAGTAGTTGTAGTATCCTGCACGAGCTGTGAATAGAGTTTACAAAGTCGAAAATATAAATAGTGAATATTGATCCAAACAAAGTTACAACATAATTAAATGAGGAGGAAGGAGGTTGGGAAGTGTGCTGTGTGGTGGGGACACAGAGAGTGAAAATGAGCTAAATCCTAATCTTTCACAGTGAGAAGTCAATAGGTAAAGAACAAGCTGAAAATGTTGTAAGTAATTGCCTCAGGAGTGGGAAATGGGGTCTGAGTTGCAAAAGACAGTTGTTCTACATAACAAGTCTTACAGAACTATGCAACTCATTAAACGATGTGCAAGTATAACTTTATTAAAAATTAAACTTAAAAATCTACCACGATTTCTACATATAGAAGGTGCCCAGTGGGGCTGGCCCGGTGGTGTAATGGTTAAGTTTGCGTGTTCTGCTTGGGCAGCGCGGGGGTCCACCAGTTCGCATCCTGGGCGTAGCCCTACACACCGCTCATCAGACCATGCTATGGCAGCATCCCAAATAGAAGAAGAACTAGAAGGACTTGCAACTAGGATATACAACTATGTACTGGGGCTTTGGGGAGAAAAAAAAGATGAAGATTGGCAACAGATGTTAGCTCAGGGCCAATCTTCCTCAAATATGAAAAAGGAAGTTTCTCAGTAAATGTTAACTATTACAGATCCTTCTGGATGACATTATCAGACAGCTTGCTATCCTTACAGGTGGGTGTGATGTCTTAGGACAGTTGATTGCAAATGACAAAGCCTCACCTCAAACTAGTAAAAGCATAAAAGGAGATTGTACTGTGTCATGTCACAAACAAGCTTCAGTCATGGCTGGATCCAGGTGTTCACAAGGTGCCAGTAGAGATCTTTCTGCCTCCATTTCTTGGCTCTATTTCCTGTGTTGACTTCATTCTCAAGCAGGTTCATCTCACTTGTTGGCAAGCTGGCCTCCAGCACCTCCAGGTTTCTATCCTACCAGCTTTGTGATCCTAATGAAAGGAGACAGTCTCTGCCTGGTAATTATGACAAAATGCCCGGGATAGTCACTCATTGATCTGGCTTGGGCCGTGTGCCCATCCCTGAACAGGTTGGTGTGGGCAAAGGGATAGAGCTCTCTGAGGGGCTAAGTCTGAGTCATTTGCCCACCCCTGGAACCATGGACAAAGTGGGGGTGGAGTGGTCTCACAAAGGAAATCTGGGTGCTGTTATCAGAAAAAGAGAGAATTAATGCTGCAAAATCAACAGTGTCCCCTCTGCTGAAGAATGAGACTGCTGCTTGCCATCATCAGTGCAGGAGCCACTGGTTAGGAATCTTCTGGAACACTATACAATTGGCCTATTTCCTCTCCTTCATGAGAGCCATTCAGCATTTAAAGACATGTCCCAGGTTCCCATGTCTTCTCATCTCCAGGGGAAATAAGCCTAGATCCCCTGATTTTCTTTCTTTCTTTTTTGTGAGAAAGATTGGCCCTGAGCTAACATCTGTGCCAATCTTCCTCGATTTTTTATGTGGGACACTGCCACAACATAGCTTGATGAGTGATGTGTAGGTCCATGCCTGGGATCTGAACCTGTGAACCCTGGGCTGCTGAAGCAGAGTGTGCAAACTTAACCACTACTCCTCAGGGCCGCCCCCGACCCACCCCGATTTTCTTTGCATGACAGTTTCTGGACCCCTCACTTTCCTGGCTCTCTTTCCCTGGATGCTGAGTAGTGTCAAAACTCTAAAATGAGGTACTCAGAGCTGATTGAAGCTCCAGATGTGGCCTGACCAGCTCAGCGACCTACGGGGTGCTGGTCTCATTTCTCCTTGTCAGTGGAGCACCTTAAATGTGCACTAGCTTTTTTTAATGACTGCAATGCATTGTTGGCTCGTACTCAGCTGTGGCCAACACCTTTTATTATATGAGCTGTCATTAAGCCAGAGGTTCCCCATTCCACATTCATGCAGTTAGTTCTTTGAACCTAAATTAAAAACTTTGTCCTAGTTAAGTTTCAGTTTATAAAATGTGACCCATTATTGCAGTTCATTGAGATGTTTTTGAATATAGAGCCTGTCTTCAGTACTCACCATCTCTCCAGGTTTTGAATAATCCACGTATTTGATTGGCAGACACTCTCTTTATTTTTATCCAAGAGGATAATAAAATAAATTAGGGTCAAGGACGAAGCCCTCTGTCCCACTGCGCAAGCCCACAGGTCATGCCGGGATTGCCCAATCAGCCGTGGAGCAACCGGGCTGTGTTAGTTTCCTAGGGCCGCCAGAACATGTTGCCACACATGGGTGGCTTGAAACAACAAAAATTCATTCTCTCCCAGTTCTGGAGGCCAGAAGTCCTAAGTCAAGGTATCGGCTGGGCCACGCTCCCTCCAAAGACTCTAGGGAAGAATCCTTCCTGGCGTCTCCCTAACTGTTGTTGGTGGCCGGCAATCCTTGGCATCCTTGGCTTGTAGCTGCATCACTCCACGTCTGCCTCCATCTTCTCATGGCCTTCTTCTCTGTGTGTGTGTGTCTTCATTGAGTCTCTGTGCCCAAATTTCCCTCTTCTTATAAGGACGCCAGTCACTGGATTTAGGGCTCACCTTGATCCAGTAGGAGTTCGCCGTAACTAGATTACACCTGCAAAGACCCCATTTCCAAATAAGGTCACATTCGTAGGTACCGGGGTGAGGACTTGAACACATCTTTTTGGCGGACACAATTCAACCCACTAAACAAGCAGTATCAGTTTTCATCTCCCATGTCTCCTTCCTGACCTCCTGGCCCTGAAGAGCATCTCGCTCAGAAACCTGGCTGCAATCCAGGTGCCCACAGGATTCCGCATGCCCTGCCCCCAGCGTCAGTCAACCTGATCCACTAACCCAGTCTAGAGAGGTGGTTGCCACTTTTCAGAGCTTCTGACAGAATCTCCCCGTGAGGAGGAGGCCAGAGCCTCCCTGGTGTGGGGCGGGTGTAGGTGGAAGAGAGAGGCATAGGGTGGCATGGTTAAGACCTCGGATTTGGGGACAAGACAGACCTGTGACTTTGGGCTGGCCTACTTAACCTTTCTTGCTGTCTCATTTTCTTCACTTGTAAAATGTGAGTAAAAAAATTTACCATCCTTGTGAGGATCAAATGACAGCCCAGGGTGGCAGCAGCTGTTGTCCTTGCTGCTGCTGCTGCTCCGGCCCTTAGCTGCCTGGGATCATTTGAATCTAGATCTGAACCCAGATCCCCAGCGTCCCCCGGAGGCGAGTTTCCTAACCTCACCAAACCTGGTTCAGGTTGCCCCGAGAAACCTCTCGGGGTGGTGGGAACTCTGAGGACACCCAGCACAGAGCTGGAGTCACTGGAAAGCCATCATAAGTGTTTGCTTCTTGCCCTTCCCTCCTCCTGTGAACAGAGGAAGTAACGTTAGTCTGACATGACCTGCTCTCAGTAGACTCAAGGCGGCTCCTTCGTGGCCACTCTCTTTTTTCTGTCCTTGGGGAGAGACATTGGATTTTATTTTGAGTCTGTCTTTATAGAGACTCTAAATTGTTTTTAAACACAAAATGCTACTTATAACTAGCATATGTATATCTCCGTCGACCAGGCCACTTAGTTCTTTGGGAAGCCCTCTGGAGTCACTATGTTTTTATGCCCATTTCACCCAGGCAATAACCAAAGGCAGGCAGTTAAAGAACGGCCCTACGGGCATGGAGTATCGAGGACTGGAGCAGGGCTTCGTTCTCCTCAAACTCTAACCCTATGCTTTGCCTTTACACCAACGGTTAGAGTTTTAAAAATAAGTTTAATTACATACATAAGTGAACTTTCTTTAAAAAATTAAAATATTACTGATAAATCTCAAGTTTCTTTCCCTGTCACCTTCACTCCCTGTCTCCCTCTCCACTCCCCAGGGGTAACTACTCTTTAGGGTTTGATACATATGCTCCAGAACTTTTAAGAATGTAGACATTTCCATTCCTTTATTTATATGTACACCTACACAAAACGGATTGTATTGTTTCTGTGGAAATGTTTTCACATAGTTGGCATCCTGCACCACACGTGGTTTGGCAACTTGCACTTTTTTACTCCACAGCACATTTTGAGAGTCCTCCCTGTTTAAAACACATAAATCTGGTTTGTACCTTTGTTCCACTATCGATGCCATGCTTGACTGATCCCGCCCGGTCGAGAGCCCCGGGCACTTGCCCATTTCCCTCTGCTCCTGGGGGCTGGCGCCTTTGTTGAACAGGTGCTGAGCAGCCTTCCGGAAGCCTCCTGGACTCACAGACTTCCTCAGCTGGAAAGGCCAGAATCACGGGGAGTTCACTTTGAAAGCAGGGCCACCTGCAGACTCCAACTGTCTGGGTTCAAGATCAAGGACTTCCCCCAGGCCGCCTGCCCCCAGAGCAGGAAAAGTCCCCGCAGAGCCCCAGGAGCTTGCTGGGCCCTCAGTTCCTCCCTGCTGGGTCAGCCTTCCTCACCTCTGCCTGTCAAGAGGATCTGTTAACAGAAAAGGATAAAAAGAGAAGTAAAATAAACACGACAGATAGGCTATAGGTCATTGACTAAAATGGCAGCAATAAAACAAGAAAGACAAACAACTGGCTACAGTGTAAATACAAAAACAGAGAGAGATTAAACCTTTTTTGACTAGGCCTTGATCTAAATTAAGACTCACCAAGAACAAGGCCTGAGGCTGGAGGCGGGGAGCACTTCCCTGAGGGAGCACCTGGGCTGGGTTCCTCTTCAGCCGTAGTCCCTGTCAGGGCCCGTCTCAGTGGACTGCCAGCCCTGAACTTCTTCCCGGTCAGCGGCTACCCATTTGAACCACCTGCGAAGATTTAAAAGAAACAAACAATTTCCCAGTGGTTGGGGGTAAATCAGTTGCGGGCTGGGGAGCTGTGAATTAACACTACACTGATCTGAAGGGTGTGCCGATTTCCATGGTGTAAATGCTCCCGCCATGGCCCATTTTAAGATGCTAACGGTTTACCAACTGGCTTGCAAATTAATTTATTCAGTACTCAAGACTGTAGTTTCGAAATGGCATTACGTTTAGAAACTCTTTGTAGCTTTTCTCACTTTCTAAGAATTTCCAATACACACCATGATCACTGAAAAACAGCCAATCAAAATTCAATGTTATTTATAGCCAGATAATTTATAAAGCAACTTTCTTTCAAAAAGTTTACAGCAAAAACACACAGCCACAGCGGGCTGTGGGAGTGTATTACTATGTTCGATGTGATGCGCAGGAAGCTTCCAGAGGAAGTATGCCCAGGGCCTACAGAGGGAAGAGAAGAGGAGGGGAGTCCAGCTTGTGGGGAGGTGGAGAGAGAAGCACCTGCTGACCGCAGGACTAGCGTTCACAGAGCACTTTCAGAGGGAATGAAGGAAGCTGAGATTCCGAGAGGTAAAGCAACTTGCTCAAGGTCACACAGCCAGGTCTCCACTCAGGACAACTGAAACCAGAACTATGCCTCTTTCCAAAACATACTGGAGGCCCTCTAGTGAAATCTGAGAGCCAGGCTCAGGTCTGGAACCTTTAAAGGTGGGGTCCATCCTCCCTTCGCCCTTTTCTTGACCCTCAGCCATGCCCTGCAGGGCCGACCTGACCCACCACAGGTTGATCCCACCTGAGCCGTGAGTACCCAAGGGGTGGGGAGAGTCTGAGCCTGCAGCCTCTTGACACGCAGGAGAAAGGCTTAATTCCCCATCTCTCTGCCATCCCCGGCAAGGCTCCCCAGGACGGGAGAGATGCAGGCGGGGTGGGGGGACAGGGGTAGGGAAGGCAGGAAAGCTGTCAGACTTTGTGCTGAGGGCTCATGTGCTTTAGGACCCAGAGCTGCTGATCGTCAGGGCAGGCCCACACGGGAGGAGCTGCTCCTTGCAGCCCAGGTTGTATAAACTATGAAGTCGCCAGGCAAGGTGGCAGTTCTCCTGGAGAAAGCAGTCTCACAGGGAGGGGGGCCATTCTCCCCCCCCCAACCCCTGCAGTGAGCCATGCACCCAGGGGCTCCCTACAGCTCACCCCTTCAGTAGCAAAGCTACCGTCCCCCTTTCCTGCACTGGGGAGTGTTGAGCACAGTTACTCTCTCCAGTCTTAGCTACTCTGGCTGGCTCTGGGCCTGCTCTGGTAGGGGGGGCTGGGACGGGGGGTGTGGGGTGGGGTGTATCCCCAAATAGCACTCAGCGTGGCCTGGGAGTTCTGACCTCCAAGGTCAGCACTGAGGCTGAGAATCCTGGAAAGGCTGTGCTCTGTACTCTCCTTGGCATGTCTCCTCCGGCAGGCCAGCTCTGGCCATAGCTGGGAGGAAGGAAGGGCAGGCTCCCTGTCCGCTGGTGAGGGGTGCCCGGTCCCTGTGGCAGCCTCTCCTGTCTCTAAAATTATATGTGGATTAAGAACACTCCATCTGGCAAGAGCAGATGGAATCAGGCAGAGGCATAATCAGGACACTGGGTTTTAGGTCTGTGGCTCTCCATATATCAAGAAGACAAAAGTGAAAGACAAAGAGGCCAGGAGAGAGGTGTGTGACGTGGGGGGTTGTGTGTGTGGCGTTTATGTGTCATGTGATGTGGGGAGCAGACACTGACTCAGTGTGTGAGACAGGAAGGTGATTTTGCGGGGAGGAGATTAACCAAAAGAAATGGAAAATCGAGGTCAGCCTAGATGAGAGAACTGGAAAGTGGGGCAAACAGTGGGTGGTCAGAGAAAGCCAAGGACGCCCCCAAGGCTCCGAGAGCCCACAAAGGTCTGACAAAGTCTGAACAAGGAGAGGAGAGAAGCCTGCAGCAGGGAGTTGCTGGAGGGCCTAGGGGCATCCCTCCCACCGGAGACCAGCATTCAAGAGGGAGAGCAGAAGAAAGTGCCAGGGTCAGTGAAGAATAAACACGGCTTCAAGCAACAGAAAACCTGACTTGCAGGCACTTAAACAAATAGTGGTATCTTTGTCTCACATCATAAAATACCTGCAAGGGGGTGGGGGCTGGTGCTCAGCACTGCCACGGCTGGCATCTCCGTGCTTCTCTTGGCCTTTCCTGTGGAAATATAGTTACTGCACTTTCAAAGATCAGGAACTTTCTCAAAGCAGGAAGAGAAGGGAACTGTGCCAGGCAGCCTGTCCTAGGAGCGCTCCTTCCATTGAAGTCCCATTGGCCAGAGCTGGTCACATGGTCTCCCCAGCCGCAAGGCAGCCTGGAAAGCACAGGGCAGCCGGGACTGTGGCTCAGCCTTGCTGGCCACTCTGTTGCCCCAGGCAAAATCAGAGTTCTGTTAGCAAGGAAGAAGGGGAAATGGATGTCAGGGAGGCAACCAAGCCCAGAGGTGAGACCCTGAATGGCAAACATTTTTGATAAAGACTAAATTAATATTCCAATGTTGAGCTAAAAGTCTCCAGAAAGAGCGAGGTCCGGCTTTGGGAAGGGCCATTCAGGACCCCACAGCCTGGCGCCTTGCTGCAATCATGTCAATCATCACTAAATGTCTTAATTACTCTTCACAGCAACCCCGTGAGGTAGATGCTATTATTTCTCCCACACTGCAGACAGGAAAGGAGAGCTCCACCCTTCGCAGGAACACATCTGAGTCAAGATTTTTTAGGCTCTAATCCAGACACTCAGCTTTTTGGTCCTAAACTCTGCCTGCTCCTCACAGGAAGCTGGCCTGCCCCTCCTTCCTCGAGTTCCCGATCCCTGGCCCCTCTCCTTCCACCAGTAAGGAGTCAGACAGACCTGTCTTCAAATCCCCATTCTTCTCCTTGTTAGTGTGTGGCCTTGGGCAAGCTGCCTGGCTCTCTGCGCCTCCTCAACCTCAAGAGGTTGTTGGATTAAATAGGAGACAATGGATTCGAGTGCCCAGCAGGGTGCCGAGAAAGAGCAGGTGTTTGATGATATCGGTGACTTCTAGACGTGCAGCAATGTGGAAATTCAGCCACAGACCGTCTCTGGTTTTGCATAAACAAGATCACATTATTTCCCACATGCTTTCCTGACAAAACCTAACTCTTTATAATCAGGAGTCAAGAAGGTTTGTTTTCCTTTGCCATTAAAAAACTGACTTGGTCCGAAGTCTTCAGTAGTTACTTCAGCGAACATTTATCAAGCATCACCAAGTACCAGGCGGTCTGCTGCCAGGAGGCCTCGTCCTCGCCCTCTGGGAGCTTCCAGCCTAGCTGCAGAATGGCACGTGCTGGTAAATAACCCTAGAGCAAGGTGCGGCGCAGTGAGACAGCTGCTGTGAGAATTCAAAGTGTTGGGACTCCGGAGGTGGCAGAGGTTCTGGGTGTGACATGGTGTGGTCATTCCTTCCTTGGGGAGCAGCCCTCCAAGGCTGCCGTGGAAGAGGTGCTGCCAGGTCGCATGCCCACGCAGCTGGCCCTGGGTGCCGCCATTCTGTGACCCCCTCGCTGGCCCCTCAGATCCTGCGGGGAATGCAGCTGCTGCCTCTGGGAGATTCGAGCACGGCGTAGACCCTGTGGGAGATAGGCTGACAGGCCTCCTCCAAGCTAGTGACTGTGTGTCATGGCTCCCTACTTCCACCTGAGGAGAGTGAGTTCTGTCTGGTGAGAGTCACCAGGGCTGACTGTGGGTTTCCACAAGCTGAAATGGATGGCAATTTCCCCAGTGTGAGAAAGAGCCACCCTGGGATAGTCTTGAGGGGGTTGATAACAGCCTGTCCCTCAGTGTGTCTTCTGCCTCACCACAAGCCACCAGCAGAAGGTTCAGGGGCTAGGTGAAGGGGTGGGAACCACACTTTGCTAACAATCCCAAATAAGGGAGTTCCAAGGACCCTCTGGTCTCAGAGACAGGCGCCATGGACAGGAACCAAAATAAGATATATAATAAACTGTATTGTACACAGAAATATTTATGCTGGGCACCAGCATGAACGTGAGACATTGAGTGACATCCTTGGGCGGGTTGGGCCCTCCAGAGGTCACTTAGGCCATCTCTCTGCGTCTAACTATTTCAAAGCAAATGCAGAAAGTTCTGGGGTGTGGGGCATCACTGGACATCAATCGTCTGGGAAGCCACCTCGCAGGTCTGGCTGGAGATGTGCAGGGCTGACATTGCTGCTTCCCGCCTGCCGCTTTGCTGCCCGGTGACAACTTATTTTGACCTTCCTCAGAGCCTAAGAACGGATCTGTGCCAATGCCCCCGTTTGGTTGGAGGCCTCCATTTCTGTGCGCTGCCTTTGGGAGCAGATCTGACTGGGGGCAACTCAGCCCCACTTCTTCTACTTCGGCCCCACCGACCAGGCCAGAAAGATATAAGGCCAGACATGAGATTCTGCTGGCAGCGGTGCCAGAAGTCAGGAAGCTGTAATTGTGCCGTGGTTAACCCTGCTGCCCTTGCCAGGCCAGACCTGAATGTACCCCTTTACAGCCCATGGTCACAGGGTGGGTCACAAACCCTCCTCTGGAGCTCAGGCTCTGGCACGAGGCCTTCTCGAAAGCCCCTCCTTTGAAATGAGTTTAAAGTGTGTGTCCAGGTCCCTCCAGTGGGGTCCTGAGCGATGAGTTGCAGCTAGAGCCGGTCTCCTGGCTTGTCCATAAGCTCCAGGGAGGCTGGAACTTTGCAATGAGCCTCTGTGCACCCTCTTTGCACAGAGCCCAGGAATTAGGCACTCAGAGGGTATGGGCAAAATTTCAGCTTGGCCTGTCCTCTTTTAAAAATGACATTTTTTGGCTACTATCAGAAAAATGGAAAATAACAATATTAGCCAGAGGAACTGGAACCCTAGTGCACTGTTGGTGGAATGTAAAATCGTGCAGCTGCGATGGAAAACAGCATGGTGGTTCCTCAAAATGTTAAAAATAGAATTATCGTATGATCCAGCAATTCCACTTCTGGGTATATACCCAAAAGAATTGAAAGTAGGGTCTTAAAAAGATATTTGTGCACTCGTGTTCATCGCAGCAAGATTCACAATAGCCAAAAGGTGGAAGCAGCCTGTGTCCACTGACAGATGAATGAACAAAATGCGGTCTATACAGACAACAGAATATTATTTAGCCTTAAAAAGGAAGGAAATCTGACACGTGCTACAACATGGATGAACCTTAGGGACATTATGCTAGGTGAAATAAGCCAGTCACAAGAGGACAAACACTGTATGAGTCCACCTATATGAAGTACCCAGTGTAGTCAAATTCACCGAGGCAAAAAGTAGAATGGTGGTTGCCAGGAGCTGGTGGGAGGGGGAATAGAGAGTTGCTGTTCAATGGTGATAGAGTTTCAGTTTTACAGGATGAAAAGAGTTCTGGAGATTGACTACATAACAGTGTAAATGTACTTAACACTACTCAACTGTACACTTAAAAATGGTTAAGATGGCAAATTTTATATTACGTGTATTTTACCACTATTAAAAATGTTACCACTACCTTTTTTAGAAAGATTAGCCCTGGGCTAATATCTGCTGCCAATTCTCTTCTTTTTTGCTGAAGAAGACTGGCCCTGAGCTAACATCTGTGCCCATCTTCCTCTACTTTATATGTGGGATGCCTGCCATAGCATGGCTTGACAAGCGGTGGGTAGGTCTGCACCTCAGATCTGAACTGGTGAACCCCGGGCCACCGAAGCAGAACATGTGAACTTAACTGCTGTGCCAGCAGGCCAGCCCCCCAAATTTTACTGTTATTAAAAATAAAAATTTCTAGAGACATTTTTGTTGTTTTTCTGCATATAAAAGAAACATTTATTAAAAATCTTGAACTTATAGAAAAGTGTAAAGAGGTAAAGATGTAATAAATCTCATAAAGAATAAAGAAATACAAACTCATAAAGAAATAAAAATTACCCATAAACCCCACTACCCAGAGACAACAGCTGCTAATAACATGATAGATCCTTCTGTATTTTGAACATGTGTGTACATCTATCTATCCATCTATAATTTATATCATTCAATATATACAATTATATACACTACTTTTTTCACTCAATGTATTATAGTATGTTCAAAATCTCCTATAATAATATGATTTTTAGTTGCTTCCTGGTATTTGATCATATGGACATGACATAATTTATTTAACTAGTCTCCTATTTCTGAATATTTAGGTTATTTAAAGTTTTTCAATATTTTAAGCAATGCTGTGATGAACATTCTTATGTATATATGTAATCCATATTTCTGATCATTGCCTTAGGATAACTTCCCAGAAGTGAAGTTGCTGAGTCAATGACTGAGAATTTTGAGGAGGATGGCTCACACTGACTGGGGCCTCATCTAACGACCCAGTCTTATTCACAGGGCGTGGCTCACCCCATGCTCTATGCTTTGTCCCTTCCAGTGCTCATAAGACCTCAGACTTTCTCTCCTTTGACTTCGGTTAGATTTGACTCCTGCAGGTGCTGGGGAACTAAATGCTCTGGAATTTAAGCAAAGAAAAACAGGGTCCCTGTGCCCTATGGGCAAGCTCTGTGGGTTCAAGCGACATCTTACAAAAAGTCCAGAATCTCCACTGTTGAAAGGGACTTAGAGATGGCCTCATCCAGCTTGTCATTTTACAGAGCAGAAAAATGAAGTGTACAAGAGTACGATATTCCCTTTTCTTGGTGGATGGACTGAGCTAAAACTGAGCTTGGTCCATCACCCCAGGGATTGCTGGGTCGCGGCCCAGAGCAAATTCCCCAGCTCACTGCACGAAGCACCATGTCCCACAGCAGCTGTGGGGTAAGTTGGGGCCATCTTTTGACTCAGCCTGAGTGACAACCTCCTCATGACCACATGCTGGCACTCAGGAGCAGCCAGTAAAACTCTTGCTCCAGGCCAGCAGCTCAGAGCCTTCTCCTACAGCAAACTCAGAGACCCAGGTCTTAGATTTACAGCAGAGGCATCTCCTCCTGGGCGGGCACGTGGGTGGGTGGTCTGCACGTGGCCAGAGAGAGGCAGAGAAGACCCAGAGATGCCCTGTGCAAGAAATGGAGTCGGGGAGGGACAGGGATGGCATCCTACCTTCACTGAGCGCCTACCGTGTGCCAGGCCCTGCGCCGTGCACACACCTGATTTCCTCAGAACCACCCTAGGATGTAGGCATCAGCCCCCTTTTGCAGATGAGGCTGAGGAAAGGTAAAGAACTTGGCCAAAGGTCAAACTGATAGCAAATGGCAGTCAGGATTTCAGCCCAAGTTGACCGGCCAACAGCTGCAGTGTTCTTACCACAGGGCTCGTTCCCCGTGAGGACTCTGAACACGCTTCAGCATACATAACAAAGAGATACACGTCATGCACAAGTGTGGAAACTGTTTCACGTCACAGTGAGAGGGAAGCTGAGTCAAGTGTGTCAAGAGGCAGCAGTGTGGTCCCTTCTAGCTCCAAGGCTCCATGAATCCTGGAATTCTGGTAGGAGTAGGAGGACCAATCCGAGGGCCAGTGTTCCAGGACCCTGATGATGAGCACAGCAGCTGTGGTGGGGGAAAGGGCATTGCCCGGGGGTCAGGGACCTTGGTGCCACTCTCAACTGAGTCAGGCCTGTCGTGTAAACCCCTTTACCCCTCCTCAACTCTCCTCCCTCACCCTCCTCTGGCCATCACACTACTCACTCATTCCCTCTACAGCAAAACTCCTCCAAGTTTTGTCTACACTTGTCTCCAAGTCTTTTTTCTGATTCTTTTTAAAAATTTGCACTTATGAATTACTTCTTAATAAAAATGACGCGGGATGGCCCGGTGGTGCAGGGGTTATGTTCGCACGTTCTGCTTCGGCAGCCCAGGGAGCAGACATGGCACTGCTTGGCAAGCCATGCTGTGGTGGGCGTCCCACATATAAAGTAGAGGAAGATGGGCATGGATGTTAGCTCAGGGCCAGTCTTCCTCAGCAAAAAGAGGAGGATTGGCAGCAGATGTTAGCTCAGGACTAATCTTCCTCAAAAAAAAAAATGTATGTTACATGTTATAAAGAATCTTAAAGCAAACCTATGTACCTGCCAGTTTAAGAAATAGATAATACCAAGACGTCTGAAGTCCCCACTCACATCCCTCTCCCCTACATCCAAGAGTAACCACTATTCCAAATTCAGTGTTTATCATTCCCTTCCTTTTCATTAAACTTTTAAGTATTTATTTATTCCTAAACGTTATATAAATGGTATCTCCTCATATGTGTTCTGCCACTTTTTAAAACTTGTTATGGATAGAATTGTGTCCCCTCCCAAAAAAATGATGTTATGAGTCCTTACCCCCACTATTTCAGAATGTGACCTTTGTTAGAGAGGGTCTACACAGAGGTAGTCAAGTTAAAACGAGGTCATAGACTGGACCCTAATCCAATATGACCGGTGTCCTTATAAAAAGGGGAAAATTCGGGCACAGAGACACACACACATGGAGAATGCCATGTGAAGGTTGGATCACGCTGCCACAAGCCACGGAACTCCCAGAAACGAGGAGAGAGGCTTGGAACAGATCCTCCCTGGCTCCTTCCAAGGGAGTGTGGCCCTGCCGACGCCTTGATCTTGGACTTCCAGCTTCCAGAACTGTGAGAGAATATCTTTCTGTTGTTTAAGCCCCTGAGTCTGTGCTATTATGGCGGCCCCAGGAAAGGAATGCATCATTCAATACTATATTCTTGAAATGCACCTGTTAATGAATGAATCTGAGGTTTATTCATTTTCTCTGCCATGTTCCTTTATATGATATACCACAATTTATCCATTTTACTCTGAAAAGCTATAGGGCTTGCTTACAGGTTTCTTGACATTGCAGCCACACTGTCCTGAGCCTCCCACACAGCATATCCTCCAGGAGCTGCAGCCCGGCCCAGCGTGCAAATCCATCAGGGCAATAACCTACCCTCAAGATAACCCTAACTGCTCTCCCCTTTCCATCTGCTGGATGTAAAGTGGTATTTCCTAGTGTCTTCAATTTGCATTTTCCTGATTCCTAATGCAGTTAAGCATCTTTTTATGCATTTACTGATAATGTATGCTTTCTCTCTCTTTTTTTATTAAAGATTGGCACCTGAGCTGACATCTGTTGCCAATCTTCTTCTTCTTTCTTTTTTTTTTTTCTTCTTCTTCTCCCCAAAGCCCCTCCCACCCAGTACATAGTTGTATATTCTGGTTGTAGGTCCTTCTGGCTCTGCCATGTGGGATGCCGTCTCAGCATGGCTTGAGGAGCGGTGCCAGGTCCGCACCCAGGATCCGAACTGGGGAAACTCTGGGCCGCCAAAGTGGAGCACTTGAACTTAACCACTCGGCCTCGGGGCCAGCCCCTCTCTTTTTTGTTTTTTTGAGAAAGATTAGCCCTGAGCTAACATCCGCTGCCAATCCTCCTCTTTTTGCTGAGGAAGATTGTTGCTGAGGTAACATCAGTGCCCACCTTCCTCTATTTTGCATATGGGACGCTGCCACAGCACAGCTTGATGAGTGGTGTGTAGGTCTGCGCTCAGGATCTGAACTGGTGAACCCCGGGTTGCTGAAGCAGAGCATGCGAACTTAACCACTATGCCACTGGGCCGGCCCCCAGCTTTTCATTTCAATGTAGTAGAATTTATTTGTCTTTTTTTTTTTTAACAGTTAATGCTTTCAAGAAATTCTTTGTACCCCAAGGTCACAGAGATATTCTCCTGTACTCCCTTCCTAAAGGTTTATGTTCTGTCTGTCACATTGTTAACCGACCTGGAATTGGTTTGGAAACTGCTGTGTAGCCGGGATCTAAAACGGGAAGCAGCACCTGCTCTGCTTTTCTCACAGGGTTGTTATGAAGATCAGAAGAGAAAATGTGTGTGAAAAGGTTCTGAGGACTGTAAAACAAGATACAAATCCAGGTGTCCATAATGCCAATTTGATGAAGAGTGAGACAGCCGTTTAAGAGAAGGGGGCCCTGGATTTGCTAATAAATTGGTCTCAAGTTAGGCTGTCAATAGGCCAGGCAGAAATACAACCACCATCCCCCTTCTGAGACCAGAGGACCCATTTGACTCTTACAAGAAAGCAAGTTCCAGTGAAACTGCTGGGGCTGGTCTCCCCTCCACCCACACTGCACCCTCCACCTGCTTCCTTACATTAGCAAACGAGGTTGCAAATATGGCCCTGAGTCATAGAGAAAAGATTAAATTACACTCAGGAAACCCCGCTCACCAAATAGCAAGAATAAAAAGAGGCAGAAAGATGCCTGTCAAAAGCAGCAAAAAGTGAGCGTGGGTGCTTCACAGGGAGCCTGCGGCAGCCTCCCCACAGACTGACGCTCTGCCACAGCGCCTCCTCCACCTGCAGAGGCCACAGCAGCTGCAGACGTGCCTGGCGACACGACTAGGGACCTCAGCAACCTTCCCAGAGCCCAGGGGGGTGGGGCTAACTTCTGGGAGCTGGAAGATTCCAAGCAGAGGAGGCAGGTTTGAGTGAGGAGGCCTGGTTGGAGGTGAAGGGCCGAGAGCCCGAGGGAGGAGGGGAGCAGGCCCACGGGGGAGCGGAGGAGGAAGCTGACAGAATCAAACATACTGTGGCCTGCAGAAGATGGCATTGTTCATGCTCCCTGAAGCACAACATGACTGAGAGCCAGAGCTTAGGCAAAGTCCCGGGCCAGGTGCCTGCTACCCAGGCCTGTGACGCTGGCCGGATGTACCTGAGTTCCAGGACGTCAGCCTTGGGAAGGGACTGGAAGGAGGGAAGGATACTAAAGGAGCTCCAGGAAATGTCTGGGGGTGACGGATGTGTTCAGTATGTCGACTGTGGTGACGGCACAGGTGTACACATATGTCAAAGCTTATCAAATTGTACACTTTCAGTATGTCTAGTTTAGTCAGTTATATCTCCATAAAGCTGTTAAAAATCACAAAACAGTGTGGTGGTCATTTTTATTACATACACGTGTTGACAGAAGAAAGACTGGAAGGATCTTCCCCCCAAATGTTAATAGCGGTTAGTTCTGGGCTTTGGGATTACAGAGGATTTTAATTTTCCTCTTTGTGTTTTTCTTTACTTTTAAAATTTTCCAAAATAAACATGTTTGACTTTTGTAATCAGAAAAAACAAAAAGTGTTTCCTTCAAAATAAGAGCAATCTCTAAGTCGCAGGGATCTTGCGAGGCCGGGCCACTGGGGAGCCGAAGGGCTCCGGGTGTGGCAGGTCCCCTGCAGGAGGAGCTGAGTAACCTGCACGACCGGCCTCAGCCTGGAAAAGCCGGCCCTGGGTCAAATCTTAGCTAATTGTGTGCTGAGTGGCCTTGAGCTAGGTACTTGCCGGTTTGGTGCCTCAGTTTCCCCAGTTATAATATGGAGATGATGGTAGAAGCCTCCGAAGGTGGCTGAGAGATTCGGTGAGCCCACACAGGGGCTCTTAGCGTGCCCACCGCACAGTAGACACTGGGTGAGTAGTAGCCGCTCTTCCTTTCCTGTCTTAGCTTCAAAGTATAAAAAGAATAGAATTGACTTGAGAGCTTTATTATTTTTTTTTAAAGATAAAAGTACAGGGAGTTGAGTAATCTCTGAAACAGAAAGCCAGTTCTGGAATGGAAGGTTTTTGAGGTTTCTCTTACCAGAGATCTTCATCTCTGGGCCAACTGTAACCACGGCTTATGCCCTCCTTCTGCCCCCACCGAGTGTGCCCCCGTCCACTCCTGCTGCTCGTCCTCCCTTCCCGCCTCCCTCGCCCTCCCTCACCGGATGGTGTGAATTACCCGGGCTCCCTTCTGCTGCCACTGCGTTTTGGAGGCAGAGGCCATACCTCGCTCTTCCCTTCTCTTATTCCTTTCCTGCAGACCCGGGCGTAACCACCCACGCCCTCCGTGCCCCCCATGCCAGGCCAATCTTGGGCTGGGCCTCCCCTGCAGGAGTCTGGATGCTATCCTCAACTGCCTCATCTGGTGCCCTGGGCAGCTTGCTGAACTTCCCTGAGTCTGTTTCCTCATCTGTCTGTGGAGTGATGCCTCCAGCCCACCTGGCTCGTGCGGGAATATGCTTCCTAACGTGTTCAGTAAGCCTCACACGACAGAGGTGAGGCCACGTTATCCTCAGTTGGCACCAGTCCCCGGGGAAGAGGAAACCCCCTGACGCCCCACCCTCCACGAGAGGGTGGGCTCCAGCCCCTGGGGATGGTCACACACTTCACTGTGACCACCCTTCAAGTCTTACTGAAGTCTCCTGCGGGCTGGTCATTTCAGCTTTCTCAAGCAAGCTCCCTCTCCCGCCCCTCAGGGGGCCGCAAGTTCCTCGAGGCCAAGGCCACCTCATGCATCTTTCGGTGTCTCTCCCTTTCCTTTTCACCTCACAAATCCACGCCCAGCGTGGAGCTGGCTCGTCATGCGCTCATTGCTTGTTTGTTCGTTTTATTTGAACCAGCATTTGCATCTCTGGCAACCCAGGCACGAGGCGCGGCTGTTAAACTTTACGGTGACAACAGAACAAAGGCCAAGGGACAGGCCAGCAACAGGTCATTGCAAAGGTGAAAGCACGCGCTAGGGGCTTTAAAAGAGGCACCAGGGCAAAAGATCTGCGATGGCCGCTTAAGTCTGAAGGTCCCCTGCGTCACTCATGCTGTTTGTTGGGGGCTGCGGCAAGGACACGGACGGACGGTCGGTGTCGGTGTGTCTGGGTGAGTGGGTGTGGATGCACTTGAGGAGTTTATAGCTTTCCTTTGACTCAAATCCTTCTCACCTACTCCCAGATTGGGTGTTAAAGGCCGGTCGGAGGCCAATTTGAGGCCAGACCAGTGGTTAGAAGCAGCTCAGGGTAGGAGTTACGTAGCTCCTCGTCCACGTTCTGGATCCCCGTGGTGGCGGGCCTGGCAGGCCTCTGCCTGTGTTTCCTCTCTGCCTGGTTCTCCTTCTCCCCATCCTCCCTCCCTAATCCCCAGTCGGTCTCGCTATCTGCCCTGCCACAGGCATGAGGTCAGCCAGTCTGATGCAACCGTTTCTGGTCCGAGGACAACCCCTGCCTGGCACAGCCCACCACTGGGGAGGTGAGCTCTGAACCGTCAGCCCAGGGACCTGTGGCCCCGTGGCTCAGTGGTCCTGCGGGGAGCGCTCTCTCTAGGCCCCAGGGCCCTACTGGAGATGGGTCACGGCCATTGATTAGCTCCTCCGCTGCCCCTCCGAGTGGCCCTGTGCCTGTTTCCGCCTCCATAAAGCGAGACAATAGCACCTGCTCTCAGGATTGTCGTGAGCATTAGGTGGCAAACATCATTTCCCGAACTCGGTCATTCCATTTCCTGTCACAATTTTTACTGTACCTGCACATCACTCGCTCTATTTCTTACTTAGTTTTGGTCACTAAATCAACTTTGAATCACCTCACTTTGTAAAAAAAAGACTTTGCTGACGAACACAGAGCCCATGCTGTTGCAACACGCTTTCGGAGAGCCTGTGGTAACAGATGGGTGGCCTGAGCCCATGCCCATGCCCGCGAGGCAGGTGTGCAGCGGCTGTGGGCCCTGGGGAAACTGCTGCCTTGGGGAGTCACGGGCCACCTGGAGAGCCAGGACGAGGGCCCTCTACCCCCTGGCCAGGAGACAGAGGGACACAGGAGACAAGGAGCCCTAGGCCTGACTGTGAAGTGAGATGTCGTCTCACCCTGGGAGTCCCACCATCGTGCCACTGTCATAGCACAGACCTCCCACCAGCCGATGCCGGAGGACTGAGTGCTGGGAGGCCTGAGGCCCAGCGAGGGAGTGAGGGCAGACTCGCTCTTCATCACGGCTCAGGCCTCTAGAGCTGTGAGGCCAGGCAGGGCCTGACTCCATGAGCTCCGAGTGGCCCGTCCTAAGGAGGACTTAAGGGCTTGGGGACTGGAGCTTTACCTCTTCCAAAACAAGTCAGTTAAGAGGTGCAGTGGGGTCTGCATATAGCAACCCCTCACCGTGCTCTGCACCTCAGCACAGAAAGCAGTTCACACCATCCGCTTGGCACCTCACAGCTGCCCTGTGAAGCAGGCAGGGCAGCTCCGGGATGGTTACTCCACAGAGGAGGAAACTCGGGTTCGGACAGGCTAAGACGTGACCCCAGGACAGTATGGGGTGGGAGGCAGTGTGGGATATTTTCTGAGCACCTACTGTGTGCTGGCAGATTCCTATACCTTCCCACATGTAATCCTTGGGGCAGTCCTGTGAGGTACGGACTATTAGCCAAGGAAGCAAGGTTAAGAACCCTATCAAGGTGTAGCAGATTTGAATTTGTGAAGAATTACAGGCGACCTCCAACTTCTAACTGGGTTATATTCCAAGATGTGGTCAAAAGACGTTTGCCCCCTGAAAGGGTGTTATTATAGTATTTAGGGAGGGCCGGTTAACAAATAGTACTCCAGAATCCTTAATGTGTGCAATGAACATTAGAACAATACCATTGTAATGCCAGTAGCCAAAACAGAAAAGCATTTGATAAAAAATTACTTTTTTATTTATTTTGAATGCCTGCCTGAAAATCTGGGGCCAGACAGAAGAATGGACATAATTTCCCCTGCCCTCCTATTTTAGAGTTTAAAGAAGAAGGGGGTGGGGGTAAGGTGATATGTGGGGCAGCATGCTGTGGGGAGCAGGCTGGGGGAAAACGGACAGAGTTAGTTGACCAAATTGGGAAGTTGTGATGGGAAGAAGCGGGTCCCCAGGAGCCAGCTCAGCATGAAGGTGACAGCAGGATGACTGGGGACCGTAAATTCTCTCCCCTTCAATGAGCTGCTTCCCACGAGAACAAGAGCTCCAGCCTCCACGGAAAGATGACAGAAGGTACTGGGTCTGCTGACTGCGGTGGAGTCAGGGTGACTCAGAGGCCTCAGGACAAGGAAGGGAGAAGCAGCAGTTCTGCCAGTGGGATTTTCTAGGGAGGAGAAATGTGTTTTCAATGGGGAGAATCAGAAATGGGTTTAAGCCCCGGCACCTCCTACAAAATTCTGGTGGGGGTGGCAGGAGTGGGGTCTGCCAGCAGCTGGAAATCCCGCTCAGTCCTCGGAAGAGCAGCCCAGAGCTCTGCCTGCTTTCAGCTCTGATGCTGAGCCAGCCGGCTCCACTAACTGCAGCCCCACTAACCAGCTGTGCGACTGGGCACGGTGCTTAACCTCTCTGAGCCTTACCTCCTCCTCCATGAGACAAAGGTGACAAACTTTCCAACCAGGGCCATTGTGGAGAACGGACAAGCTAACACCCACAGAGCAACCCACATGGCGTCTGGCCCACGCGGGGACCTGTAATCAATGCCTGCCTGGCTCCCTTACTTCCTGACTGAAGCTTCAGGGCCATCAAGGTGTGGGGGCAGCAGCTCTGGTTAGAGCCCCCTTTGTTCCTGGTCACGAGGCTGCAGCTGAAGGGTGGAGGAGGTCTTTCATGACGCGAAGCGGGCGTAAAGAGATGAGAGGTGTGACCCTAATTTGAGGTCAGGGCCCAACGGCAGGTCAGGCTGCGGGCGGCCTCTTCCTCCCTTTTGTGTAGCGCTCCACAGGGCGGGGGAGGGGGGTAGGGGAGGGCCTGCGTGGGGGTGGGCACAGCTTCCAGGGCAAAGCAGAGCAGCCCGGCCGCGCCAGTGAAACTGCCATAAACCCTAGTCCCGGGTGTTCTCAGGTCACATCAGAGCTGGAGAGAGCCGTGGATCCTCTGGTTCCACACTCTCATTGCACAGATGAGGAAACAGATCCAGAGAGGAAAAGGGCTTTTCACAGTCACACAGCCAGGCAGAGGGGGAGCTGGACCTAGAAACCAGGCGTCCTAACACCCAGCCCAGAGTCCCCCCCAGTTAGCAGACATTTGCTCCTCCATGAGCTTTTGATAAATCTTCCAGTCTTTTAAAAATACATATATATAATTTTAAATTAACACAATTATACTATACATGAACACTTTTTTTTTTTAAGGACTTTATTCAGGGGCCAACCCAGTGGCTCAGTGGTTAAGTGCGCACGTTCTGCTTCGGCAGCCTGGGGTTTGCTGGTTCGGATCCCGGGTGAGGACATGGCACTGCTTGGCAAAAGCTATGCTGTGGTAGGCATCCCACATATAAAGTAGAGGAAGATGGGCACGGATGTCGCTCAGGACCAGTCTTCCTCAGCAAAAAGAGGAGGATTGGCAGCAGATGTTAGCTCAGGGATAATCTTCCTCCAAAAAAAAAAAAGGACCTTATTCATCAGCAGTATGGATTCTGGAAGCCAGATTACTTATTTATTTATTTATGTTAATATTTCTTTCTTCTCCCCAAAGGCCCCCAGTACATAGTTGATATTTTAGTTGAGGGTCCCTCTGGTTGTGCTATGTGGGACGCCGCCTCAGCATGGCTTGATGAGCAGTGCTAGGTCCAAGCCCAGAATCTGAACCAGTGAAACTCTTCTGGGCTGCCAAGGCAGAGTGTGCGGACCTAACCACATGGCCACAGGGCCGGTCCCATGAACACATTCTTTATAAAAATTAATTTCATTACCTCCTAGACACATTGTGATTATTCAGTGTTAGTTGAATGACTGAGTGAATGGATGGATGAACTCTTATTCCCAGTATCCCAGTTCAGGTCTCAGTCATTTTATCAGCTCCTCCCTGGATGCTGGCAATAAGCCCTTGATTGATTCGCTCTCTAGACGCCCCGTCACCCAGTGCCCTCCCTCCCCAACCCCACGCAGCCCTACCATGGCCCCCACAGAAGGACGCAGGGGCAAGGAGGGCAAACAATGCTGCTCAGGGATCCCTTCAGTCCTGCTCCTCTCTTGGTCAAGGCCAGCTTTGGGACATCCTTTGGACTAGGCTTGGGACAGGTCAGGGACATGCAGATGCGTTTTCCTCTGCATCCAGGCCCTGGTGCCCTGCTCAGCTGCACCTTCACACTAACCAGTGGGCCTCTCACTCCACGGCTGCTTTTGCCTCTGCTTTTTTCCTCCTCCCCTGCAGTGCTGGGACTTGGAAAGACCCCGAGCCTCTGGTGGGACTTCCAATAATTCTATCATCAAAACTCAGGGCCAAGTGGATGGGAGAGCCCTTTCATAATGCACACGTATACCAAATCATGACATTGTACACTTTAAATATCCTACAATTTTATTTCTCAATTATACCTCAACAAAGCTGAAAAAAAGAAGAAAATTAACACCAGAGCCTGGGGCACTGTAGGGCCAGAGGTCATGTAGATGGAGGCTCAGCCGGGCCCAGCACTCCTGAAGGCAAGGGAACAAGTGAGTTCTCCAAGAAGGGGTGCGCCCGAGGATGGGACCTGGAAGCCTTCCTGGTAGGAGGTGAGAGGAAGAGTCTAGACAGAATGTCCTGGAGTCAGGACAAGAGTCAGAAGTGTGTCTGATCCCTGAGGTCACGGGAAAAGAGAGTTTTCAAGAATGAGGGTGTGGTCAACAGCGCCAGTGCAGCTGAGGCTGGAGGAAAAGAGACCTCTGTTTCCTGAGGTGGATGTGCCCAGACCCTCTCAGGACCAAGCGCAGGGCCAGCTGTGAGCAGAGGCCCTCAGGCTGGATCTGGTGCTGAGGAAAGCTCCCGCTGAGGCTGCAGGGGTGAGCCTGGGGGGGTGTGGACCCTCCTCCAGACCCCGGGGACAAGTGCCCGAGACCCCACTGAGCAGAAGCAGGGTGGGATGGAAACCAAACACATGCTCCTTTAAAGCCACCTGAAATCCTCATGTCAGGAAAGTTTGATTTCTGGCTTCTCTTTCCTGCAGCAGGATATTTAAAGAAAACAAATCTTTAAAAGCTTCAACTCCAAAGCACAGAGCCCTCTGTGTGCCTATTTCTGGTCTCTGCTTCAGGAAGAAACCTCCTTACTCTTTGGTCTAGACTGTGTCCAAGGAAGATTGAACCTCTTGGTCGGGACAGGGGAAGCCCCCATCCCTGCTGGGGGGTCAGAGGGAGCCAGCCACAACCAGACCTTGAGGCCTTCCAGAGGCTTCTACTTGAGCACACCCTGAGGCCAGGGGCCTGGGGAGGATGACAGATGGTGGTGCCAGCTGGGAGCAGAGAGGGCCACCTCCCTGCCCCAAAGCCAAGTCTGGCCAGCTCTTCCCCTAGGGACAGATACTTAGTGGGGAGGAGAGGGAGCTGAGAAGCATGCAAGGAAAGTGATCCAGGCTCTGTCTGTCTGGGATTTAAAATGAGATGGCCTGCTTCGGCCTTGGCTGCTTCCAAATGATCCAAAACATTTGGCCCAAGGAGGGGACATGGAGATAAAAGACAAAGGGAGTTACTCCTGCCAGGTCCTGGAGCCCGAGTCTGGCTCCCCCCAAGGATCCCTTTACAGCAGCCCCACAGCCTCGCCAGCCGCCCTGTGCAAAGAAGTGAAAGTGCACAGCCTGTCTTTCCGGCGCGCGCCCAACGGCCCACCGCCCCACCGCCTTGCCCTGTAGCCCGGCAGGGGCTTTCACTTCCCTTTTGCAGATGCAGGAACAGCGGCTCTGAGAGGGCAGGGGCTTCTTGTGCCCACCCTGCCAGGAAGCAGCAGAGCCTGCCTCCCCACCAGGCCTCCTGGTGCTGGCTGCGGTCTCCACAGAGCCCCACTGCCCCAGCCAGGAAATGGGCAGGCGGCAGTGTCTTTCCATTTCTGTTAGTGGCTGAGGCACAGACATCTAGGAACTCCTGGGTGGGGGAATTTCTCAGCCCAGATGGCCAAGGGTCCTGCCCAGGTGTCAGTACCTTTGCCTGGTGACCTAATGCGCCCCCTGCTACAGATGAGCTTCAGGTGAAGGACCCTAATGGGCCATGGAATAAGCCCTGCCTGGGGCCCTGTCCACCTCAGGGTTTTTCCCCAGACCAAGGACCCTTCTCCCTGGTGGCTGAGTCATGGACTCCCAGGAGGTCAGGGCAGGAGTAGCCCGAGGACTCTCCAGAAAACTCTGTCCTTGCAGATAGGGCCATGGAGACCTGAGCACTGTCCAGGTCACACCCACAATACCAACAGCAGCACCTTCCTCAAAAGTCGTTTTGAGGACTCAGTGAGATAATGTGAGCAAAGTCCTCAGCCCACGGGTAGCGATCCGACTGGCCCTGGCATCACCGTTGTCAGGGTTGAGAGGCGCCCACCAGCGCCAAGCCACCAGGCCTCCAGGAGAAGTCAGAGGGCCCTTCCCATGGCCGGTTGGTGGCCAGGCTGGGGCAGAGGTCGGGACCGCCCCACCTGGCCTCTCCCTGGCCGCGTGATCAGGGGGAAGCCCCGCTGAACCTCGCCCCCACCATCGTGGTTTCCTTACTGAGAAATAAGCTAGATATTCAGGAGGCCCCTTTCGGTTTGGGAATCTCCGATTTCAACAGCAAAACTGCCTGGACCCAATAGCAGCTGGAAAGTGCGTGCCCGGCCCACGGAGGAAGTCCCAGTGGGAGGCAGACAAGGGTGCCCTGTGCGAGCCCTGGCTTGGCCTGGCCCAGAGCTCTGTGGGCTTCCACGCCAGGCCCAGGGGCTTCCAAGAATCATAGTTAAAAGTCATTACGTGAAGGTTGTCAGACAGCTTACTTTGTGTTCCTGGAAGCTGTAGTCCAGGAAAGGAGGGGGAGGGCACGGGGGGAGAGACGGGTGGAAAGGTGAGAAGAGGTGAGGCTAAGACAGAGGCGGGGTGGGACCTGGCCTGGAGCTGTCCAGAGGCCACAGGGACAGGGACCCAGAGCAGGCAGGGCTCTGAGTGAGGCCGACACAGGCCCAGAACGACCATAGCGTTTGACTTCCTTCAGCCTGGGACACTGCCTGACCACAAAACAGAAGCAACAGGGTGCTTTCTTCACGGGAAACTCCCTCCCCCCACAGGAGAGCAGAGCCATGGGTGGTCATCTCGCTGCTCCCTGAAGACTCTCAGCCCACGCCTCCATCCCCCTCTGGCCTGGAGACACCAACATTGGCTGATTTTCTGTAAAACACCACCACAGGCTTCCCCTCTGGGGCAGCACCCTTCACCTTTGCTGCCAGGCCACTAGGGAACCCACACCACACTGGACAGGAACGGGCTGCTGCTGCCGCGGTGACTGGCCTCCTGAAGCCCCCCACAGTGACAAAGTCCTGACTTGGGCATTACCTCCATTGTATTGTGGTGACAATCACTACCATTGATTAAGCACCTGGCACGTGCCGATGCCTGCACCACCCTCCCCATGTGCACCGCAGTGAAACTTCGTGACAGTGCAATGAGATGTGAGTATTAATCCCGCTTTACAGCAGCGGCACCAGGCAGGCTGGCTTCAGAGCCCACGTCTTAACCACTGCTAATACCATAGAGCTGCCTAGGAAGCACCGTGTAAGGGTACAGGCCGAAGGAGTTTGGGCTCTGCCACTTGGAAGCTGTGTGACCTTGGGGAAGTGGCCTGTTTGCTCAGCGCTGGTTTCGTCTCTAAAACAAGAACAACTTCAGAGGGTTGTCGTGAGGGTTAGAGATTATATGAACCACTCAGCACAGGCCCTGACCTGGGTGGCGCTCGGTAAAGGTTGTTACCCAGAAGGGGGCCCTGGCAAACCTTCAGCCCCAGGCCACTTCACTCTAGCCCCGCTCTGTGTGCAGGAACAAAAGAGGACGTGGTGCTGATGAAGCATCCCCTGGGTGCCAGGCACTGTGCCCAGATGCCCAGGAGGGTCAGTCACCAACGGCCTGCGCCCTGTGAGCTGTTAGGATTCTGGCCCCTGATCCCACCCAGCAGCAACCTCCTCTGCCCTATCTATCCTGGCCCCATCCCACCCTTAGTCCGGCAGGGCCTCCTTGGGTGGGGTGGGCAAGGCAGGGCCGAGTGGCAGGCAGCAGGGCGTCCTTATCGCTCCCAGCACAGGGCTGGAGAGAGTTAAGCCCGGCCTTCTTATCAGCTCCCCAGGCCTCCATGCTGAAAGGCGCTGCCTGGCCTGGCTCTGAGGCAGGGGGGCCAGAGGGCCGGGCTCTGTGGTGCGTGCCCAGGTCCTTCCTCCTCTGGAATGGACCCCAAGCAGGAACAGGAGAGGCAGCCTGAGAAATAGAGAGAATGCTGCCTGGCTTTGATATCGTGTCATCCTACGCAATCCCCTCCCTCTCTAGTGCCCATCTGTGAAATTGGGGATGAAAGGGCAGCTGGATATGGTGACCCCTGAGTCCCTTCCAGCTCTGAACAGTTAGCATCCTGTGACCACCTGGGAGGTAGCCATGATGATCACTCCCGTTTACAGATGAGGAACCTGAGGCCAAACAGAGGGAAGAGACTTGCTCCCATAGCACACTAGTTGATAGCCGAGCTGACACTTTGGCCTCCTGATTCCCAGTACAGTGCTCTGCCTACCCTACACACCTGACCTTCTAGAAGGCCCACAGAAGAAAGGTCTGGAGATGACGGAGAAGGGGTGGCTGTTTCTGGGCTCCCATCAGAGGTCCAAGCCCTCCCCAGGCACAGGCTGGGGACCTCTTAAAGGGGCTCCAGACGTGGCCACCAGGCAGCCCTGCAGGGTTGGGAGTGACTCCTTGGTAGTGGGCCAAGGGAAGGCAGGGTGGCAGGGCTTCCTGGGTGTGGAGAGCAGGCCCTCTCGCTGGGCCCTGATAACACCCTTCCTCTTATCAGTGGGCGAAGGACCTTGAGGGGGCTGTGTGGGAATCAGAGGGCAGGTTCAGCATGAGCAGGGAGGAGGAGGAAAGGGGAGGTGGGGGAAGCTTGGCTGAGGCCTCCAGCCTGGCAGGAGAGAACCTCTGGGGAGGGGGCCGGCCCAGTGCTCAGGGGAGAGCATGTGGGGGAGTCAGAGGAAGGGGTGGGCTAGGGCCCTCATAGCCCTCGAGGGGCAGAGAAGCCTGATCCAAGGGACTTTCCTAAAGAAATCCTAGAAATCTCTGGTGGGAGGGACCAGAAAGAGCCAGAATCCCAGAGCAGGAGGGGTCAGGGCCGCCTATCAGTGTCAGAGGAAAGTTATGTCCTTGCCCAGTGGGGAAACTGAGACCCAGGCTGTTGGGGGACATGACTGACACGTGGCTGAGGACTTGGAAGGCCTGGCCTGAGACTGGGGGAGTCCCCCGTATAGCAGGGGGCAGGGAAGCTGTCGATGCCATCCTGATGACCAGGCACCCGGCTCTGAACCAGGCAGGGCAGTGGAGGGACAGGCAGCAAGGCAGGGCGGGACTAGGGGTCCCAGACCCTGGGGGACCCTGGGTTTCTCAGCCTCCTGCAGAGCAGGGCCTCCAGCAGGTGTCACTCCAACACCAAGCCTGTTCCATGAACATCCCCCTCCAAGCCTTGGCCCAGGTTCCTGGGTCCTCTTCCCATGAGGCCCCGGCACAGACACCCACAGGACACCATTTGGGAGTGGGCCTGTGGGCTTCTGCTCAGTGCTGGGCAGCCTGGGCTGAGCTGTGCCTTGGAACACACACACACAGGAGACCCACACAGATTCGGGTGCCACACACACACCTGGGGTCAGGGGCTCAAAACATCTCATGCCCTCCACCCCTGACAAGCGATCATGGACTGCGAGCTTCCCAGACAGATGAGGCTGCTTCAGCTTTCCTCGTAAATGCAGGTCCCAAGAAGTTTATTTAATTTAATTAATTAATTTATTTATTTATTTTGAGGAAGATTAGCCCTGAGCTAACTGCTGCCAATCCTCCTCTGTTTTTTTTTTTTTTTTTTTTTGCTGAGGAAGACTGGCCCTGAGCTAACATCCGCACCCATCTTCCACTACTTTATATGTGGAACGCCTATCATAGCATGGTGTGCTAAGTGGTGCCATGTCCACACCAGGAATCCGAACAGGCGAACCCCTGGCTGCCAAAGCAGAATGTGTGAACTTAACCACTGCGCCACCGGGCTGGCCCCCCAAGAAGTGTAAATGTGGCCACGGAAGCCAATGAAAGCAAGTCCACAACTTGACTGCCTTTTTGCATGTCAACGAACACACTGCACCCCTCCCCAGAACCTAAGGTCAACCCTGAGGTAAGCAAGATGAGAGCTGAAGAAATGCTTGCAGCCCAAGGGAACTTGGAACAGGGGAGGCTAGCACCAGGGCAAAGTGGACACAGGGGAGCTGGAGTCCCTGGGGTTGAGCAAGGCTGCCCAGGAGCCCAGAGAGCCAGAGCCAGAGCCACGGGTGAGGCAGGGTCCAAACACAGAGGGCCCGAGGCCACCACGATCAGGGTGGGAGAGGAGGGGGGGACGGCCTGCAGGGGGACTCAGTGTGTAGAGACCTGGAGCCATGTCCTGCACACAGGTCACCCACCTCCCCAGGTGGGGCTGACACTCCCCAAGGATGAGCTCCTGCCCCAACACACAACACGGGCGTGCACACACAGGCACACACACCTCCACGTGTCCTGGGGTGTTGATCTGCCCTGTGGTGACATCGTTCCTTCTTACCCTCACCATTTCCCAATTTCCCCTGGGTACAGGGTGCCAGGAAGCAGTGTCCTGGTGCCCGTCCTCCTCTCCTAAGGAGGCAGTTCTGAAACTTCAAGGTGGCAGGATCACACCGGGCACCTGACAAAAACTCAGATTCAGATTACTGCCCTCCCCCACCCAGAGATTCTGAGTCGGTGGTCTGGGGCCCTGGAATTCTGAGAAGGTGGCCCTTGGAGGAACACTGGGTGGTCTGTTAGCTGTGTGATGGAGAAAATGATTATCATCATACTGGCTGCTTTCAGTGTGTCCCTACTGTGCGCCTCGTGTTTGCATGAACCACCTCATTTCATCCTCTGACGAGCTTCCAGGAAGGTGCCATTATTTCCCATAACCAAGGTTACACGCTGGCCACTACAGGCGCCAAGTTTGATGTACTGCCCTCTCCCTGCCCACCAAGGCCTGCAGACACACATAGCCTAGGGCCCCTCCACAAGGACAGGACATGAAACAGCATCTGACTCCTCAACAGGAGGGAGTGACGTGGGTGAGAATGGCTCAGAGGAAAGATGCAGGGTGGACTGTGATGGGGAACACGCGCACTCCACCTCCCTGGGATGAGGCCACGGGAGGGCCCCCTCCTCACCTGAGGGCCAGCCCCAAACTACCCAGGAGGTTCCCATGCTGTACTGCCAGAGCAGGCCACTCTGGGTGAATTCCTGGGCAGCATGCGCCCCCTTCAGGCAGACAGGGGAGCTGCAGGGCAGAGGCTAGGACTTTCCTGGGAGGACATCCAGGCACTGCTGGGTTTTCTCTTCCATCATCTCCAGCTCTGCTGTGGTTGTTATGGTTGCCCCATTTTAAGGATGATAGAAATGTTGAGTGTCTTGCCCAAGGTCGCAAAGCCAGCCAATATTGGACATTGGTCCCCCCTCTCAGGGTCTTTGTCTCAGCCCCCAGAATGCCCCAGATCCCCCATCTCCGTGGAAACTGGGACAGACAAAGCCCCAAGGCAGTTGGAGGAGGCAGGCAAAGGGTATTTAATGGGCTTTCGGGGGATCCAGGCACTCCCGCCAGGGGAGTAGGCAGGGACAAGGCACAGAGAGCCTCCACGCGGGATAGAGGAGTGAGGTTCAGGTGTCGAGGCTCCTGGCATCTCCAGGGGCAAAGGGAGGAGAGGAGACCAAGGCTGATATGCGGCCTCATGCAGCAGGGGCAGCACTGGGCCAGCCGGCGTGGACCTAAATGCAGAGTGGAGGATGGGGGCTGTCCCCAAGGGTCCACCCTACAGATCATGGCCCACCAGCTGGGGAGGAAGACGCTGTCCAAGCCTCCACCCCTCACACGCAGAGCATGGGCGTGTGGTGGCACCACAGAATGCCACTGCAGGGGCGCTTGGGCGGGGCTTGTGAATTACCTACCCCTGCTTCATTCCTAATGGTCCACTTCCACACGGTTCATACACTCAGCTCCAGATTAAAAGTTGCCTTTAAATAAAGGAATCGGTCCCCCCAAATTAGAAACCACTGGACTACCTTCAGTCCTAATCTGGACACTGAGGCCCAGAAAGCAAGTGATGGGGTAAAGGCCAACTAGCAAGGTTGTGGTGTGGTCTTTTCCCTTTGTGTCTCCAGGATCCCCTGGTGTATTCTGGAGGCCTGTGACTCTACTTCCAACACTCCTGGGGCCTATCATCCCCCTCCCTCGAGCTCTCAGTGCTCCAGCTTCAGGACCACCGCACCACGGGGGAGCTTCCCCCCACAGTTGCAAAATCTGGAGATGCCCATTCCCAACACCACAGGCACAGGCAGCTGCACTTGTGCATGTGAACACACACACACACACACACACACACACACATCCCTTACCTTCTGGAGGAGTGCAGGATCGGGATCGCCGCTGCCTGGGGGACCCTGTTCCAGTGTGTAGAGACCCAGAGGTTGTACCTGGGGTCCAGATCCTGGCCCAGGAACGGCTAGGGGACTGGGTGTGGAGGGGCCCATCGAGCAGTGCAGGGTCTGCATGGGCACCCAGTCTGGCCCCACCACTCTCTGCAGCCCGACAGCTTCGGCCATGTACCTGGGGAGCACAAGCCAGATGGAAGGGGTCGCAGTCCTCCAGGCCTGGTCCCCCTCAGCATGGGGAACACAAAGTACCAGCTCGTCCATAAAGGGAGCTGGGGCCAGTCGCATCCAGGCTGCCGGGCCCTCTGCCGCATTTCTTGTATGAGAACCCCAGCTTCACCCCACCAGCCCCAGGGTCACCACTCGGGCCTCTGGTTTGCCAACTCACCTGGGTCCTTGCGGCAGAAAAAGTGTGAAATACTAGTTTCTGGCACAGCCAAGGTCGAAAGGGTTGTTTACATGCAGGTACCGGTACTGGAAGGGGCAAGGGCAGGAAGAAGAGCTCAGATACAGCAGGACTGGGACAGCCACCACTGCTCCCTACCCTGAGCCCGTCAGCTCAGCCCAGGGCTGCAGCAAGACACCAAGGGACAGAAGCCACTAGCGTCAGCCAAGGCCTCCCCCAACCCACCTCTGAGTAGCTCTCTCCAGGCCACCCCTGGCCCTGCACGCCCTCTCCTGCCGTCTCAGGGGTCCTCCCCTCACCCGGCACCCCCTTGGCAGCATCCTCCCCTCTCTGTCTCCTTTGGCCACACACATCCTCCTGCTGCCTCTTTCCAAACACACTATCACATTGGCCTTTTGCTACGAAACTGCTCCAAAGGCACTTCCACCCACCTCTCCCCATTCTCTGCTTTCCCAGCTCTCAGTTTTTCTACACTTGTTGCAAGATGCAAGAACAATATATAAAACCCCATTATGTCTTCTTATAATAATAAAAAAATGGAAATCAAATTTTGAAAAATTTATAAAAGCAGAAAAACACATGAACTACTTAGAAATAAGCTAACACAATATGTGCAAGATCTATACACTGAAAACTACAAAATGCTAATGAAAGAAATCAGGGACGACCTAAATAAACGGAGAAGAATCCCATGCACACGGATTCAAAACTCAATATTGTTAAAATGTCAAATTGGTCTTTGCACTCAATGCAATGCAAATGAAAATCTCAGCAAAGATTTTTGTAGAAATTCACAAGCTGATGCTAAAATTTATATGGAAAGTCAAAGGATCTAGGACAGCCAAATGAACTTTGAAAATAAAGAGCACAGTTAGAGATCTCACATTGCGTGATTTCAAGACTTAATAGACAGCTACTAAGGAAGACAGTGTGGCATTGGCAAGAATAGAGAGTTCAGAAATACAGCCACATCTATATAGTCAGTTGATTTTTGATAAATGTGCAAAGGCCACACAATGGAGAAGGATGGTCTTTCCAACAAATGGTGTTGGCACAACCCACTTGCAAAATAATAAATCTTGACCCATGCCTTGCATCACATACAAAATTTGACTCAAAATGAATCAGAAGCGTAAACAGAAAATCTAAAATTATAAAACTTTTAGAAGAAAACACACGAGAAAATCTTGGCGACCACGAGTTAGGCAAAGACTGCTTAACTACAACACCAAAAACACAATCCATAAAAGACAAAACTGATATGGCACTTCATGAAAGTATAAAACTTCTGATCTTTGAAAGACATTGTCAGGAAAATGAGAGGACAAGCCATAGCCTGGGGAAAAATATTTGCAAAACACATATCCAAATCCAGAATATATACAAAACACTTCAAACTCTACAAGAAGAAAACAACTCAAGTTTTTTGAATGGGCAAAAGATTACAACAGACATTTAATCACAGACATACACATGGCTAATAAGAACATGAAAACATGCTCAACGTCATTAGTCATTAGGAAGATGCAAATTAAAACCCCGATGAGATACCAGCATACACATTTTTTTTTTTTTTTGAGGAAGATTAGCCCTGAGCTAACTACTGCCAGTCCTCCTCTTTTTGCTGAGGAAGCCTGGCCCTGAGCTGACATCGTGCCCATCTTCCTCTACTTTATATATGAGACGCCTACCACAGCATGGTGTGCCAAGCGATACCATGTCCACACCCGGGATCCGAACCAGTGAACCCTGGGCCGCCGAGAAGTGGAACGGGCGAACTTAACCGCTGCGCCACCGGGCGGGGCCCAGCACACATTTCTTAGACTAGCTAAAATGGAAAAAAAAAAAAAAACCTGACAACGCCAAATGTCAGTGAGGATGCAGAAGCAACTGGAATTCTCATAGGTTGCTTGTGGGAATGCAAAATGGTACAGGCATTTTGGAAGACAATTTGGCAGTTGCTTACAAAATGAAAAATTCAGTTACCATAGAACCCAGCAAGGCCACTCTTACCTATTTACCAAAAATAAATGAAAACTTATCTTCACGGAACTGTACACAAATGTTTATGGCCGCTTTTTTATGATTACCAAAAACTGGAAACAACTCAAATATCCTTCAGTTGGCAAATGGATAAACAAGCTGTGGTAGATCCACAGGATGGAACAGTGACCAGCAGTAAAAGGAAGACACTACTCATTTAGGCAACAACATGGATGAATCTCAGGTCAATTGTGCGATGTGAAAGACACCAGACTCAAAAGGCTGTGAATTCCATTTATAGGAGGTTCTGGAAAGAGAAAATCTATGGGGATAGTACAACGCAGTGGTTGCCAGGGGCAGCAGGTACGGGACAAACTGACTACAAAGGACCATCAGAGAATTTCGGGGCTGATGGAACTGTTCTGAATTTTAATTATGGTGGTAGCTACAGGACTGTCCATGCTTGTCCACACTCATAGAACTGGGTGCTTAAAAAGGGTGAATTTTACTGTATGTAAAAATAAACAAACAAACAAAATCCTGCCGTGGCTCCCAGGTTTCCAGGTCCCAAGACTAAACTCTCCAGCTGACGTTCTCAGCCTTTCCCACCTGCCCAATGCCAAGCAGGCCACTTCATTTCCCATCCACTCTCTGCTGCAATGACAACCGTCTCCTCGCCATCTTGTCAACAGTCCGCAGCCTTTCGGGCATCCCTGCCTTTTTGCAAGCTGTGCCCCTCACCTGCACCGCCCTCCCCTCTGCCCTCCGCCCACCCAAAACCCTCTCCACCGTGGTCCTCTCTGAACTCTCCGTTCCCTCTCTGAGTCTGTGCTGCACAGCGTGGGCGGGCCCCTCTCTCAGTGTTGACCGGCGTCTGGCGGGAGTTATTCTGACTTCAGGCTCCTCCTCAACACCAGCGCAGGATGGAGCCTTACTCACCACTCCGCGCAGCGTGAAAATAATGCACGCGCCGCCTGGCACACAGAAGGCCCTGGACGCAGGGCACCCAGGAGAGAGACTGACACCGAGCCCCAGTGGAGGTGACACGGGAGCTGAATCAGGGTCTTAAGGCTAACGAGGTACCTTCGAGGGAGTTCAGGCCATGAGGACCAGTGCGGTGGAGAAACAGCAGAAAGGGGAGGGACAAGGGGACCGTCCTAGCCTGGTGTCGTGGCTCCCCCGGGCCCACGTACCTGGCCCTCGTGGCAGCGCTCGGCCGCGCTCACCGACCTGGCCTTGATGAGCAGCAGCACGAAGAGAGGCTCCAGGAAGCCGGCGGCGGGTACGGCAACCACGTTGCTGCCCACGAGCTAAGGAGCTGTGCCCTCAAGTGTCCTCGTTGGCCCCGCCCCTCACCCAGGCTCCGCCCCAACGGCCCCGCCCACGACCCGAGGGTCCATCCTCTCCCTGCGCTCCAGTCCCGGGTAAACCTCACCCCACCCTGCTGTCCAGGCCCCGGGCCACCTTCTGCCCACCTCCATCCACCTCGCTGCTAGATTCTCAACTCTCCGCAGAGCCTCCGAGCCCCGCCCATCTCCCCGACCCTACCGCCCTCACTCCTCCCAGACTGATCCTCCCAAGCGGCTCCTCTCTCGAACCCCGCCCACCGATCGCCCCGCCCCTGTGACCTTGTCTGTCCCTTGGCTGTCCCTGCCCTCCCCACTGCTCCCCTGGAGGGCGCCACAGCCTGGCGGATACGCGACGATCTCGTCCATAGAGAAGGGAAGCTGAGTCCTGTACACTGGGAACATCAGGACGGTAACCAGCATGGCGCCCGAGAACAGGCATAGCGACAGGACCTACAGCATGAAGACACGGAAATTGGGGTGACAGACGCAGTTGTTGACCCACTTGCAGTGGTAGTCAAAGTCCTGGGCGAGAGGAAGAGGGGCTCCCCTCCAGGACCCAATCTCTGGCCTGGCCTCCATAGCCCCCAAACCTGAGCCTTACCCTAGACCCCTAGGCTAGCTGGTCCCCGGCACTGGCTCTGTTCCCTGGGAGAAACGAAGCCACAAAGTCCCAATCGCTGGCTTTTCTGTGGTTAGAACACTTCAGGGCTCTGTGGCTCAAGGTCACCTGTCAAGAGGCCTCTACAGACTAGGCCTGCTTGGCCTTCTGTGGGAACATCCTGGTGTAACCTTGGGCAGGACAGAGAATATCTTGGGGCCTCTCTTTCCTCATCCACTGAATGAGAGTAAGGTTGACATCCCCCCACCAGCCTCCCAGGGTTGTAAGTAGCAGATAAGACAGCACATTTGTAAACCTTGGCAGGCCATGCACAAGAGAGAGACAAGCTCTCAGAACACAGTTGATTGTCTGGCATGGAGCCCCAGAAGAGGACAGGCAAATCCTCCCAGGCTGAGCCTGCAGCTGGCCTCAGGGCCCTGGGGCATCTAGTGTCAGCCAGGCCTGGGGTGGGACAGGGGTGCCTTTCCTCCTCCTGGTCTGACCAGGCCAAGCAAAGACATGGATGCACCTGTGCCTGTCAGCACCTGGCTAGGGGAGGGCCAGCCTCCCAGGACAGCTGCAGGCACAGATGCAGTGACCTGCATGAGTGACCAAGAGTGGCTGGGAGTGACTGCCACCCTTGGACTTTAGCAGTCTTGGAAGTGGTTTCATGCCTTCCATGCCCTCCGCCTCCTCCCCCCAACCCCAGCCTCGGTATAAGTGTGCCTTCTAGTCCCGGCCACGTGCTAGGTGGGGCAGAGGGTGGGGGGCAGGGGGACAGATGAAAGGGGTGCTCACCTCCACACAAATGTTGCACCATGGGCAGTGGTAGGTCCGGGGCGGGTGGTGGAAGCAGCACCTTGGGCACCACTGCAGGCGGAAGGCCCTGTGGTTCACCCACACCACAGGCACCATCATGGGGCCCAGTTCGTTGGAGCCTGGCATGGGAAGAGGATTGGGCAGCAGCAGGAGCCCTTCCATCACTCAGCTGCTGGCAGGGGTGGGGGCAGCCCCGCAGCATCACAGGGCTGCAGGAAGGGTGGGGAGCAGGTGGGCATGGGAATTCCCGGTCTCCACTCAGCTGCCTGACCAAACTGGGAGAGGCTGGTAGCCCAAGGGAAGGTAATTTCCAGCCAGAGGAGCTCTGTGATGACACAGGCCTTTGGAACTGGGATTGATGCTTTAAGGAGTGTGTGCAGTGGGAAGGAGGAGAGAACTGAGTGGTTGTCAATACCTGGCTTCTCTCCCTGGCCTGCCCCGCCCTCCCCTCCAAGGCAACTGGAAACCTCCGGAATTCTGTTTTCCACATCCCGGTGGATTGGGAAATGAAGCACAGAAGCAGGGCCCAAGCAGAGGAGGATGTGGGGAGAAGGGGTCTTGAGGCCAAGAAGGGGAGTGGGGAGCACGTTAGGAATCATCTTTGCAGGCAGGAGCCTTTAGGCTGCTACCTCCTTCTCCCAGGGGCTGAGAACTCACCTTGATGCAAGATGCCAGGGTCTGACACATTGAGGGAAACGAGACTGAAGAAAGTCAGGATGAAGAGGGGGCCTGTGACAACGGGATCGACCCACTCCCCATTCTGGACCAGCCATCTGCAACTGAGACCAGAGCAGGACTCAGCCCTGATCTGCGGGAGGTCCTGAGCTCCCCCCAGGACTCAGTCCACCTGGTCAGGACTCACAGACCTTAAAGCCTGCCATAAATATCCAAGCTAGTGACAGATCCACAGAGGCTCCACCAGATGTCACCCAACACTACCCACCACCACCAGCTCCCAGGGGCACCAAGCACTCTATGCCTCAGTGCCTTTGCACATTCAGGGCCCTCTGCCTAGAATATCTCCCTTCCCTGACCCCTCTTCTGCACTTCTCCTGCTCCATGCTATCATCATCTCTTTTTCTTTCTGTGTCTGTCAGAAACCTGCTGGCCTGGGTGGGAGACTCACGGGAATGCGAAGAAGAGGCCACTGAGGATGAGCAGCAGCTCGACATTGAAGGCAGCGAACAGGCTCGGGAGCATCCAGGGAAGTGGGTCCTGAGGTCTGCCACCCCGCAAGAGAGCGGCATGGCGGCACCTCCAGTGCCCACAGGCACCCTCGCCGATACTGGCTCCAGGAGCCCTATGTCGACAGCGACTGTTGAAGACATATTGAGCGCCCAAGCCACAGCCCAGGGTGGAAGGCAGAAGTCCCAGTGTGACATCACCGAGGCTGAGGAGAATGTGGGCTAGGGGCTCTGCAGCCTGTGACCAGCACTTCCAACGGCAACGCCCGCCACCCCCACTGGCTGGGGACTGAGAGGTCCTGCCCCTGCCAGGTTGGCTTCACTCCACAGGGTAGAGAAGCACATGGGGAGAAGGGGTGATTCCAATCGCCCTTTCAGGGGAAGTGCTAATCGAAGCAAACCCTGCTCACTGCTCACTCTGTCTTCAGCTTTTCCTTTTTGCTATCACAAAAGTCCACTTTGCAGGAGGGGCAGCAAAATAATTTCACAGCTTCCCTCGTTTCCTGGCTTTTCTTGATGAAATTCTGGTCAACGAGATGTAAGCAGATGTCTTTCGAGGGTTTCTAGAAAAGCTTTTGCCTTCCTGATAAAAGGGGAAAAGGACACAGTTGGCACAACTCTGTTCCTTCTTCCTGTCTTGAACCTAGATGTGCTGGCCACGGGCGCACCCTTGGACCCATTAGGCAACAAGTCAACATGCCATGCAGACAACATTTGATGATAGTCTTGAGTCACTGCCCCAACCTTGAACTGCCTCCCTCTGAGCCACTTATGATGTGAGCCCGTAACTGGCTTCACTGCGACATGCAGCTGACAGTTGTCATTTGTTTTAGCCACTGAGCATCTGAACCCTTCTGTCTTTGGAAGTTTCCAGCTGTGACTCACAGCTCCAACGGGCCCATGACTCAGGCGCCACCAGTCAGCCTCAGAGCTGCTACCACCAACCCACTGGGGAGTGTTTGCTGAGAGGCGGCCACTGCACACATCTTCAAGCTCCTTCGTGTTGAAGTGTAGTTGCCATTTTGAAGGTCTCTTTAATTTCAACAGTGATTGTATTATTCTTGAACATGGATAAAATATGTAATTCCAAGATTCCTACTTTGCTTTAAAAACTTGGGCTGCTATCAAATGGGAGTTATTGACTTGGAACATTCTGAGGACATAAATCTGACTAGAAACAGAGGGGGCTGGCCCCGTCGCCAGGTGCTTAAGTTCACAGTCCGATTTGGCTGCCCAGTGTTCACCAGTTCGGATCCTTGGCGCAGACTTACCCATCGCTCACCAAGCCATGCTGTGGCAGCATCCCATATAGAAGAACGAGAATGTCCTGCAGCTAGGATATACAGCTATGTATTGGGATTTTGAGGAGAGAAAAAAAAAGAGCAAGATTGGCAGCAGATGTTAGCTTAGGGCCAATCTTCCTCACCAAAAATTATACTTAAAAAAAATGGGGGCCAGCCCTGTGGCCAAGTGATTTATGTTTCCATGCTCTGCTTCAGTGGCCCAGGGTTCGCCAGTTAGGATCCCTGGTATGGACTTATGCGCCTCTCGTCAAGCCATGCTGTGGGGGCATCCCACGTGGAGGTGCTAGAATGACTTACAAGTAGGGGACAGAACTTTGTACTGGGGCTTTGAGGAGAAAAAAGAAAGAGGAACATTGGCAACAGATTTTAGCTCAGGGCTAGTCTTCCTCAACAAAAAGTATACCTTAAAAAAAGAAAAAACAGGAGAAAAACTAAACAGTACCTTTGGGCCAAATGCAGCCTGCCTGACCCTGGGTTTTTTAATAAAAAGAAAAACAGAGAACAAAAGTCCCTCATCAGTGCACAATTATTGTTACTTTTATTCTCCTGTCTATAGAAACGTATTTTTTCTTTGTGACATTCAAATTAAGAAGTTAAAATCTGTGTTCTAAGAATATTGTCTTATACTTGATGAGATTATATTTTAAATACTAAAGTTGAAAGCTTTAGATATTTTCATTTTTGTAATTTCATATAACTGTGAATATGTATGCACATTTAAAGTATCTACATATTGAAATATATTAAAATTAATTTTTAAAAGCGTGTGAATCATAGAGAGGAAGAACTGCTAGCCTGGAAGAGAAATGATGTTGGATCACAGTCTCTTTTCCACCTGATGCGCTAAAATGTTATTATTTTACCTCTGTCTATTCTACCCGATGGCAGAGAGTTATTACCTCACTTAACATAAATGAGTAGTCTTAATTTTAAGCAAATCAATAGAATGATAAGATAGAATTAATAGAACGATAGGAGATTCCTGACTTCTGAAAATGCTGGGAGTTTGTTATGTTACCTTCTGCTGTGACATCTACAAGACTGTTAGTCTGATTAATATCATGCCAACACTATGACCTTTCTTCTCCTCAGACACCTGTACTCACACAGAGCAACAACTCTTGCATGTTGCTATTTTCTGATGCTGAGCCCCAAATTCAGAAGAATGAAATTGGCCTTGTGTCTTTTTGGCTGCTAGGTATCACCAAAGGCTCACTGCCCACCCCCGAAACCCATGACATGGCACTCTCAAGCATCGAAGGATGTTAAAAACATAGAGATAGGGGCTGGCCTGGTGGCATAACGGTTAAATTTGCACACTCTGCTTCGGCAACCCATGGTTCACAGTTTTGGATCTTGGGTGCAAACCTACACACTGCTCCTTGGGCCATGCTCTGGCAGCATCCCACACATAAAATAGAGGAAGATTGGCATGGATGTTAGCTCAGGGACAATCTTCCTCACCAAAAAATTAAAAAAGAGATAGAATTAACATTCTTCATATTTTATACATCTGCTCAATGATATTGTAAGAGCTGCCCTATTTATTGGGCCCACGTGGGGTAAACTGATAAATACAAAAGAAGATTTAATCTGGGTTTTGCATGGGTAGGGATTATCAATATGAAACCGAGCATGAAGAAGTTAAAAAATCTTCCCTGGAGCAAAACACTTTGAGAGAAACTTTGCTAACTGCAGCTGTGCACATTCAGCACAATCAATCATTTAACCAGGTCTTTGTGTTCCTTCTTAGTATGTGAGTGAGCTGTCTTTCCCTGAAAGTCAAGGTCCAGACACCAAGATTCAGCCTCACAAGGCCAAACGCAGGCTGAAGATGAAAACTAACCAGAAAAGCCCAGTCAGTCAAGGAGGAAGACATTTGGTCTTCCAGGCCCAACACAGGCTGCTAGGAAGGCCCTAACCTGCATGGCCACAGGTCCTGCTCACCTACCTAAAACCCCAGCACATGCTCCCCTCACTTACCTAAAACCCCAGCACATGCTCCCCTCACCTACCTAAAACCCCAGCACATGCTCCCCTCACCTACCTAAAACCCCAGCACATGCTCCCCTCACCTACCTAAAACCCCAGGAAAAAACCCTACCTTTTTCCCTTTCAGGACGTGGATCTGAGTTCTCGCTCCCATCTCCTCGTCTGGCTGCCTTTCAATAGTAAAGCTCTTTCCTTGCCACAAGCCTGTGTTTCAGTTTTTTTCCCTTTTGGCCCTGGTGTGTGATGGGTAAATGAAGCAGTGTTGGATTTGGTAACAATTTGGCAAGCCAGCCAGCAGGCTCTTTGCCCATGGCTCCATGGCCCCTGGCTGAACGGGATTTGCTGGGAAGCGGTTCAACAGCTGCCCAGGTGATTTGACCTAGGGACTGTCCCCAGAGCTTTCCATCTGACTGGCACCACTGGCCCTAGGCGCATTGTTCTTGTGGCAACAATCAGGCTCTAGATTTGTTTGTCTGTTTTGGCTTCTGGTTGGAACAGATGTCCTTTCTGTGCTTCCTCATTAAAACTGACGGAGTCCTATTTTTCCTTTTGTTGGCTTGCCTCTGCTTCAGGGGTTCTGTTCCAGGTTAGTGGAGTTTGCTTGGGGGAACCCTGATTGGTGGAAAGGACCAATTCCTGGTTCCATCTGTCTGGATACTTGTGTGGCTATGTGTGAATGTATATCGTGTGTGTGTGTGTGTGAGTGGTGCCATAATGGGGGACTCAGATTTGACTCCCAGTGGTGGCCCTCTGGGTTGTATATTGAAAACTTGGGATGTTTTCAGTTATAAACCCATGAAAAAGAAAAAGATGAGACAATCAAATTTGGGGTCTCAGATTCCTCTCATAGCCTTACAGATGCTAATGAAAACAAGTTAATAAAAGAATAAAAAGAAGCTGAAAAAAAAAATAAAGGGACTCTTCTCAACAAGTTGGAAATTCTTAAAGGATTTTTTCTTTAACAACAAAAACACTAAGGTAGGGGCCAGCCCAGTGGCACAGTGGCTGAGTTTGCCCGCTTTGCTTCAGTGGCCTGGGTTTTGTAGGTTTGGATGTGGGGCATGGACCTACATACTACTCATCAAGCCAGGCTGTGGTGAAATCTCACACATGACATAGAGGAAGATTGGCACAGATGTTAGCTCAGGGCCAGTATTCCTCATCAAAACAACTAAGGTAAATAAGACAATGGGGTAAATAAGACAAATATTACAAGGGGGGAGAACAAAGAAGAATCAGAAAAGGGAAGAGTCATAGGATTTGTCTCAGCAGGAGGGAAATCTTTAGCTAGTTATTAAAAAGAAAAATGGGATAAATAAAATGGACATAAATGAGGTTAAAACAAAGGTTTTAATAAAACACTGCCTAAAATTGGGTGGGCTAAAAGGACCCCCTACTGCCCCCCAACATTGGTGGGCCTCAATGTTCTATTCACCCCAGTTTGCAAAAAACAATTTTTTAAGCCAGAAGGCAGGAATCACAATGAGAAACCTGACCAACAATTATTTGGGGCAACAGTTAGGCTGCCAAGGTTGATAAGATTATAAAGATTAAAATGTTGGAGCTAATATTATCTGAAGAGGTCAAGGCAACTTTACCTGGATGTTCTTTTTGCAAATGGATGTTATGTCTGGCTGGAAATGCTTCCCCTACACAATGTTATAACACCAAGACTTACTGATGGAATCCTTGAAAGCTATGATTAGAGGTATAAAAATTGATAAAATTTTGTAAAAACATTAGTATATCTAAATGGATTTTGTGTAAAATGAATGGGGCTCTTTTGCCTGAGTGTGTCATAGATTATGTTATGGGGATAGACATTGTGTCTCACTGGAGGACGTTTCCCCTGCCTGATATTGTAAGAGCATATAAATCCACCCTTCAGGCAGTGTTAATTAAACATGCTAAAGGAGATCTCACTTTAAAAGCCAGCTGCAAAGTTAAATAATCAAGGGGAAGCCTCAGGGATATTGTGAGTCCCCCTCAATATTTTCCCAAGTCCTTAAAGCTGACTTGGATTCTGTCGCCTTTACTCAAGGCTCCACTCTTGTTCAATATGTGGATGACCTACTCTGTAATCAAACTGAGCCCTTACAGTCTCTCATTCTCCTGAAGGCACTAGTTGAACGAGGCCATAAAGCCTCCAGATCTAAACTTCAGTGGGTGCAAATGACTGTTAGCCACTTAGGGCACGAAATATCTTAAGGCATTCCAAAGCTAACCCGCAAAGGCTTTGAGTCAATTTTGTCCATCCCTCTCTCCAAGATGAAAAATCAGTCATGTA